AATACTCTCATATACTGTAACACCACTGATCTGACTCTCAGTGAGCTTCTAGGTATAATTTAAAGTTCTAGTTTTCCTCTATGAAGCCCTAGCTAACATGCAGCCAAGTTATTTGTGTCAACACTTGTCTCTGATTGTTACTTCATGCCTCACCAGAACTGGTGAAGATGTCATGTTTCAGGTCCCATCAATCTGATGATGCCATCTTGTGATACGAGGAGTTGCATTTTCTCTATTATATCATCTGCCCTATGGAAAGGTTCCAACTTTGCTAGTCTTTCACAAGGCATAAATGACTTGACTATTATCCTAAGCTGTGGAACTGGTAAATTCAGTAAATTATGTACAGTACAGTACATCAGTTGATTGATTTCTTCAGTTCCAGTCTTAATCTCAAATGTTTATTCTGGGTGTTTAGTTTATATTATGTTTGGTTTGGTCTGTTTCCTGCCTAGATATACTCAAATAAGATAGGTAGTCATATAAATTGTATAAATCAACACGGTAATAAAGGAGGTGTGATTTCTCATGTGTGCACATGCTCAAGTATATGCATGTAATTCCTAATGCACTGGATGCAGAGTTTGCTAAGCCAAAGCCATAAGGCTTTTTTCCATTTTTTATCATTAGGCTAGTAGAACATAATGCTAAATTTACTATTCAAATAATAACATACTGTAGTCTGAACACGAGTACACTCTCTGTCTCCTATTTCCTTCTTTCCTTGCACTCCTCTTTCTTTAATCACAACTAGGAGAATATCCACACCACCATAGGAAAAATTCAAAGTCCTCTCAAGACTGAAATTTCAAACCTTCTTTGCATGAGCTATACATAGTGATATTGCCTGGGCTACTATAAAAACCAGACATTTCCTATTTACCAGTTTTATATTTCCAAAATGCTACTTTCCCCAGCTGGTGACTTCAGTAAACACTCAAAGCATACAAAGTTTAAATAGAACAATGCATTTGGAAACTGCATTGCAAGGCATTTATTTTGGGGAGGGAACACATTTTGGGGGACTAAAGTAGACTTGTTAATCCAGTCATACATTCAGTTTGTGAATAATTGGGATCATGTCTAATTAGGTAACCCACACCTTCTGTAATTCAAGCCACTGAGAGCGAAGACAGCCATATTGGTATAGGTTTGTTCTGGTTGTTTCTTTTGATTATAGAAGCCCCATTCAGGCATTTACTGTACCTGAATGTATACAGGTTCCAGAGAACGGAACCCACCCTTCTCTCTCTCTAGCCTTGATATTTTGAACAACAGTTCCAAAGCGGATCTTTGTTAGTGTTCACTTGAATGCAAGCATAATTGTCCCCACTATCTGCGATCCAGCTTTCTTCAGCCCCAGGATTTACTTTTGCTTCACCTCAAGGTGCAGCAAATCAGGGAAAGGCTTCAGGCAATGCTCTATTTTCAGTTCTATTTACTTATTTAGGTAAATGCTTGAAAAAGGCTTTTAAGAATGACAGATATATTAGAAATTTAATTTTACAGAGCCATGAAACTAAATAGTGAGACTGGTAGTTTTAATCTCATGAAGATACAGTACTACCTGCCCAGTTTATTCTTCTTTTTTGGTGTTTTCTTTCCTACACATCCATAATTGTTTTGATTAATACATCAATTTTCATTCATTTCTTGTTCTGTTCTATTTCCTCTTTCTGATGTGGGAAGGTGAATGGAGGAACCATTAAGGAACTGCTGTGAGAAATTACTATATTAATTGCCAAAATATAATCTCCTTTTGTTATACTGATACACTCTGTTGCTTTATAATCTCTTCATTACAGGCAGGAGAAAAAAAAAGTGATTCAAAGAAGATTGAATAGAATTAGTAATGATGCATTGTATTAGGTAAAATTTTAGTAACCAAAGTGCACTTTGCTAAAAATTTAACCAATATGGAATAATTCAGTTGTAGAGTCCACTAAGAATGTGAACAGGAGGTTGAAAATTATGCATAATAATGGTGTTGTGATGTTCTAAGAGATATTCAACAAATTGTTTGACCTTTCTCTGTCTATATTTGTCACCTGGTAGAGCAACTATGTTGCACTAATAATTTACAAGAATGGTGTGTCTGTAAATCATATTGACATCATTAGACAAAATTGGTGAGAAGATGACACTGCAGCCTTGTGACAGGAATTACAAGGTTTCCCAATTCCTCTTGTAGGATGTGCAAAACATATTATGTATCCAAATAGGATGCAAATTATCATGAAATAGCATTGACTGTATTTGGCCTTACAGGTCTTTGCTCAACTGTGTTCTGATGTTATATACAAAAAATGAATTCCTGATTCATGACAGGGTAAAGGTGACAGTTGTTGACTTAAACAAGTTGGCCACGAGTTCCATAATTTATAAAAATAAAAGGGATCATTCCTGTTCATGCAGGAATCCAAATTAAGTTTTCCCAGACAAATGAATATATCATTTGTGAGAGAAACTTTCAGTGAGGAAGAGACCACCATTTATCTACATAATTGGTTCCAGTGTTCTGAACAATTTAGCATAAATAGTGTATGGTAAAAATATAATTAAAAGTGGTGAGACTGGTCCTTCAAAACATATTAAAGTTACAGTTAGTACCTGCCCGCCCCCCGCCCCCCCCAAAAAAACAAAGAATTGGAGATACATAGAATTACAAAGTAATTAGAGTATAAAGGAAGGGAATATAGATGTGATTAAACCAAAAATAACTCTTGATAGTTCTGGTAACTCTTCATAGATTTTTTTTTTTTTTTTTTTTATGATTAAACTGAATAATGATGTTTTAGGGATGTATCTATAGATAAAAGTTTTATGGGATAAAGAAAATATTTGTGGATAAAGAGGGAAGTTTCTTCTTTTCATTACTTTCTTTCTCTGTTGGTAATACTCTTATTTGAACTTTATTTCCTATACTTTCCTTTATATTATTTCTTCTTTTCTTTTCTTTTCTTTTCTTTTCTTTTCTTTTCTTTTCTTTTCTTTTCTTTTCTTTTCTTTTTTCTTTTCTTTTCTTATTTTCTGCACTCCCTCTTCTCTTTCTGTGCTGCTATTTATTTTTGTAGTGTGTATTAGCTTTTATCTGTAACATATCTATATATCTATATGTGTGAGAGAGGGAGGGTATTTTTGCTATTTTACTAGTAGGGAAAACTTTTACTCACATTTACTCAACCCCCCTTTTCCCCCCCAAAAACCCCAAACTTCCTCAAATCCTATTCAAAATTAGCTCGAAGAGTAATTAGCTCAGTTTTTCCAAAACATGTCCTGTCCTTACTGTATTGTCTTAGAAATCTTCTATCCTCCCTTTAGGATATTGTTTTTAAGTGTATTATTTTTTTGTTTTGCATTTCTAAAAGAATTTGAGTTCCAGAAATCTCCCAATTCCTTCCTCTTATATTTTGAAGGTTGTTCTTGTTACACACTGAAAAAAATACATTCACTATTAATATTCACAATAGTGTACAAAAATACACTGTTCTTTCTCTAGATTCTTTGAAAAAAAAATTGCATATGCCTTCCATCCAGGGAGTTGATATAGCAAGACTTATTTAGCTTCAGTGGTGGAATTGTTACCTGGGAAAATAACAAGTTTCCTGGGGAGAATGAGACAATCCTTTCTGCCAAGTAATTCCTATAAAGATTGAAATAGCTACAGATGATGGACTGGAATGGCAGATGTGATCTAGAAAATATGGAAAGCTATTTTTGAGTCTGTGAAGTCTGTAAAACACCAAAACTCATAATGTCTCCTTTTGTTAAACCCACAACTTGTACAAATGTATGTTGTCCTTTGTTTGCTTTCTGTTTGATGTGCCGCTTCAAATATGTTCAAATGGTATTAATTGATGGCACAATAATTGAAGAAAAGCAACTCCTGCCAAATGTTCCATTAAATCAAGAATATATCACAAACGACCAATTTTTAATTTCATGATGGCTGTTTGGGTGGGCAGGAATGAAGGAGAAAAATAGGCAAAATAGAAAAATAAGGACCTCCCATTGGCAGCTTATCAAGGGCTTCCGCAAGGCGGCAAGAACATTTGTATTACAATGTCATCCCACAAATGACACAAATTGAGTAATGATACAATTCACATAACTTTGCAAATTATGTCATGACATATGACATCATCTTGGCTAGTACCAGAAACTTATGCTCTTTCTTTTAACTCTGGGTATCTTGAGAGAGAGACAGAAGCAGGTATTGCTCAAATAGTAACATGAGATTTATACAAATAAATCTCAGGCAGCAGAAATTACCTTGGGGAGACTTTTCATCCCTATTTGCTCATACTCATAGAAATTATTTGTATGCAGCTACACTTAGCATTGATAAAATGCCTCCATGGAGAGTAACCCAAAGAACGAACTATGTTTCTGTGCTGCCTGTGGAGAAGTACTCTCTCCTTTCTTTGTCTCCTTCTGGTTCTTGAAATATGGAATTTAAAGAAGTTCGTTTAGAAAGGTTCATAATAAAGACTTTGTGCTTCTCAAAATGTAAAACCAAGATGAAAATGTTCTAAAGAGACAAGCTAAAATGGTAGGACAATTCAACAAGTCATTCATATTTATAGAAACACTTCTCAACTTTGTTAAAAGTTATAATAATTGGGGATGTTCATGATCTCATTATTTGCCTTCACTAATACTATGGCTTTCATGATTTCAAGGCAGTCATTATTTTATCTTTACATTGAAACCACACGACACTTTCATCTAATGATATTCTGTGTACCATTTTTAAGAGCTCTTTTGATGTGATATTTATATGACTAATAGAGAATGTTTCCTATTCAGCTGTTACATGAAATATATATTTGCCGAAGCTTTTCACCCACGCCATCCAAATACACTAATAATCCTTGTTTAGTGACGATAATTAGGAACAATGAGTTTGTTGCTAAGTGAAGTGGTCACTAAATGAAAAATCACATGACCACAGCTGTGCTTATAATCTTACTTCAACTTTTTTTGTTTTTCTTTTACAGTATCTAAAGGATATAGCCCCAAACTGCCACATTAGCCCAAACAATAAGGAAAGTTTCCGGAACTCAACTCATGAGGAAACCAGGTAAAAAGGCAAATTGTATAACTCTTTTTCCCACTCCCTTCCCTTTGTAATGCTCACCCTGGTGCTGGGATAATTAGCAAGAAGATAATTTATGTTTTTATTTACATTCATTGGAGAGGAAGGCATTACAAGAGAATAAAAAGGCACATAATGGGGAATACACATTGAAAGGAAATACGCTAGCACCAGCTCTTTACTAGCACTCTTGGTGCTGTGAGCAGCAGCTTCTTAAAGAGGGAAGCAAAAGCCTTTAAGTGTGAAACTGATTATGTCAGCAATTTCAGGTAGCAGTTGTAAGATGGTGGGAGGGTTCTAATCAAATAATTAAGATCACAAAACTGAATCATCACAAAAGTGTGGTTAGCACTTTTTTGGAAGAAGCTATTCTGGAGAAAAAGTAGTTCAGGAAGGGAGAGAAAAAGGGGAAAAAAGTGTCAGGCCAATACATACAAGTTGACTGTAATGGGTAACACATGACTGAAAGGGGGAGAAAAAGAGAGAGAGATGCTGTGAAAGTCATTAAATGCAATATTACAGCCAAAAACCTGGGTGGATGCCAGAAATCACATTTTATTTAGGAAGTTGTATCGTTAGCCATCTAGCCTAGTTTTGCACACATGGGCTACTGTTCTGACCTAGGTTTCCTGAGTCAGTAAAACACACAAGTAGTCCCAAAAACCTCTTTTATTGCAACAGCTGTGAATTCTGTTCATTCACAGATGAGTCCCAATTATTTGCAAAAAGTCCTTCAGGAGAAGTCCTTCAGGATAATCACCCACCTTTATCTCCCTTGACACGCTGCCAAAAACCTAATTGGCAAAGCCACACGGAGTCCAGAATCAAACAGAGCTTTAAACTAAACAGAATTAACAACATTGCTTCCTGCAAAGGCCCATGTGCCTTTGCTCCTCTTTTAAGTCTTATGGGAGGGGCCAATAATCTCCAAGCCCTACTCCTGAATCGTCCCTTTTGTATTAACTGTTCTTGCTTTCTGGCAGTTCTGAGCATATGCGCACTGGGAACAGGCTTCCCCTGTTCCTCTGCCTCGCTGAGGTCAGACTCCGGAGGCTCTGGAGGCAGCACGTACCTCCCAGATGGCCCTTTCTCTGTCTCCGATGCAGAACCCTCATCCGAGCCTTCCCCCGACTCCAGGACTGACCCATGTTCCTCCCCAATCTCCTCACTGTCCGACACTGCTGCCAGCTTTGCAGGCCGCCGGTGAGCCACAACAGCTGCCGCTGACTTCACCATTATGGAAATAGGTGCTTCAAATTCTAGTTTGACAGCCATGGTCAGCTAAACATCCCTTTCTGCATCTGGATGGAGTGACAAACGACATGGGATGGGTGCCAAAATTCTCGCTGGATTAAGGAGAGAATTTTGAGATAGCCCATGTGACTCTGCACAACTGCTCCTCATGAGTGAACCATGGGATTTGTCATTTTGTGAGGTTTGTCTATGAGCTGGGAATCTAAGAAGGAACCATCTTTGCACACAGTTCTTGATGTAGCCTTTAAAACACAATATCTCAATTTGCACCTTACTTCTTAATTACTTTGGGTTTGAATTCCAAAAGATTCTTCCTAATGGCAAGTTATATTGCATTTGCTAGGTCAGTCAGCTTCTCAGAAAAATAACTTTTAAAGAGTGCTTTGAATATGGACTTTAGAAAGTTTAATGGTGGATTAGGGGCTCAGAAGGACTTTGAATTTTAATTTTAAATGCCAACAAGAATAAATTGACTAGAATAAATTTTCCCATGGGAAAAATGGCAACTGATCTGATATACAGATAGATAAATAGATATAGATATAGATATAGATATAGATATAGATATAGATATAGATATAGATATAGATATAGATAAAGTGTTTTTCTATCGAGACACCTGGTCTATCCCACACACACATGGAAGGTTGAACACTAGAGGAAGCTAGAGGATAAAGAAGACAAAGCAGAAATCTATAGTAGAAGCTTGAACATACTTGTCTGCCAAGCTTTTGGACAAAGCAAATAAATTTCCTGATTAGGTTGACAGAACTTGTAATGCAATTACAGAATAAGACCTAGTTGCAGCAGATGATTTCAAAATTATTTTGAAGGAGGACTTAAATTTAGCAAATAATGAGAAAGATATGGGCACATACAGTAAATGGAATTGATGGATGACTTATTCGCAAAAAGAGATCTACAAATATTGAATGAGGGAACAAACCTTGTCTCTCTCTGTGTGTATGTGATATACAAAGAGTTCTGCTAAGGTTTTGAAATATTTTATTTAGATGTGATAAACAAAAGAACAAACTTTATTTATTGGATATAAAGAAAAGATCTGCTAAAGGTCTGAAAGATTTTTGGCTTAAAACACAGATGAGCAGAAAACTAAATCTCGGACTCTTTTTGAAGGGATTAAAAGATATTTTTACAAACTCAGAAAGGAATTTGAGATTGACTAGAGCTAAAAGAAAAAAAAAGTTACTTCTGATTGCCCTTTCTGTACTTTTCCTGACAAAGGATGACTGATGAAGCATTTGGATTTTGTTTTTGTTTTGTTTTTCCTAAATAGATGAGCTATGGGTGAAGAGAGATTGTGTTGTATTAGAGATAGTGATAACTGTTAAGATTGTCTTTACTTGCTGGGATGAAAGGAGAATTTACTTCATTCTTTATTGCTTACTTTTTTCCAGTTTTTAAAAATTTGTTCATACTTTCCTATTCTTTTGTATATTTCAGTTTTGACTTTTTGTAGCCTGTATTATTCTTTTCATTTGTAAACCTCAATAAAATTATGTGGAAAAAATAAACAGGGCTTTCCTAGCCCTACCTGAAGATGCTATGCTTTGAACTTGGCAATGCTTACAAGCAAAATATGTCCTCTGCTCTTAGCGATCTTGCGTGTTTATATTTGTGTGTATGTATAAGAAAGATTATGCACTGTTTAAATGTGATAGAGATAACAGATGTGATAGAGATGTGGCTCAAATCTTTATCCCTAAAAATGTAAGATGTTGATTTGATATTCTGATGTGTGGAGTTTGATTAGTTGCTTTGTAGAGTGCTTACTATTCCTCTCCATTGTGTTCCATTAACTATGTCAGATATCAAAACTAGGGCTACCAACTTTTTCACTGCAAAAATCCAGATCAGAAGGCTCATTTAAGATGATAAATTCTGGGTACTGTCCTTCCTCACTATTTGGAGAAGGTTGCAGTGAAGGTTTTGATCAGAGTTTCCTAGATTGCAAGAGTGTAATTATTTTGTTTAGCAACTGAGCCAGAAACAACTTGATGCAGAGTTTATTTTTATGTTGTTTACTTGGTGGACAGAAATGGTGTTAACAGTATGATTTGGAATGTCACTGGGAATTCTCCTGCCACATCCTTCTCATCTGTATTCTTCACAGTTACTCTAAACAGGCAACCAGCCAGATATTTTCCTTCACAATTCCACATCCCCTCCTACACCAGCCTGCCTTTTAACTTCCACTGATACCCACAGGGATTCTACAACCGCAATACCATTCTCATCATTGCATCTTGTTCATCATTGTGACACCAAACACCTCACAATTTGGGGGGAGAGAGAGAGATGGTCAAGGATATGAAGGGGGAAAGAGAAATAAACAACTTCCCAAGAGAAGCAGTTGTGCTACAAGAAACTGTGGGAGGTAAGAGAAAGCCACTTTCTCTGCCAGCTGCTAGACTGAGTGTAAAATACTGGTTGGGCAAGTCCTAAGAGTTTTAGGAGTTAGAGGGGAGGAAGAATAATGATACTCTTGATTTTTTTTCCAAGTGCAAAAGTGAGGGAATAGATAGAATAAGGGCAAGAACAAGGCAGGGGGAGAGAGGAAATAATTAAGTGAAGTGTAATATTGTGTACACTACATTAGTTTTTAAAAAAACTAATTTATATTCTCATTTATTAGAATTCCCAGAGAATGGTCATTTGTATTGCCTAAATATAAACATGATATGGGTGACTTTGGAATTGCCAAGGCAGTGGTGTAACTATCATTCCTTTCAAATATGTATATGATCTGAAAAGAAACATTGCTGCAAATGTACATTACCAAAGCCCCTTTTAATTTTCTGTATCTTTAGGAACTGGGCTTTTGCAAATTCTTTCATTAAATTATCTGATCCATACATCTGTTGTGGGGGAGAAGATATTTAGAATATTGTGAGGGCACAAGAAATCTTTGAATGTTCTTTAAATATTTCAGATTTTAAGATGTTACTCATGGCAAAAGAAGTTATCAATATTTGAACTAAAAAAGAGTGGAAAAAGTGAATTAGCATTAATTAAATATCTAAAGGCATGGTGAATAAGATTGAATTGATTATGTGACATCAAATCAATATCGGATACTTAGCAACCATATTCATGGTTTTCTCCATGATAATCAATCCTTAATTTGGTCTTTCAGGTATTCTAATGGTAAGTACATTAATCACTATAACTGAATGGAAGATCATACCTTGAGCTCTGGTGGCGCAGTGGTTAGAATGGAATATTGCAGGCTAACTTTGCCTACTGCCAGGAGTTTGACCCTGACTGATTCAAGGTTGGTTGACTCAGCCTTCTAGCCTTCTGAGGTTGATAAATTGAGGACCCAGATTGTTGGGGGAAATATGCTGATTTATAAACAGTTTAGAGAGGGCTGTAAAGCACTATGAAGCAGTATAGAAGTCTAAGTGCTATTGCTATTGTTATATATTCTGTGCTTTTGTGTTTTCAGCATCATACTTTAAGAAACTGCAATATTTCTGAATCAGTATTTTCCCCAAAGGGAAAAAAAAGTCTTCAGCACCTCAGATAATTATAGACAGGTATGAAAGTATACAGTTTGAGAAATTTCAGATATGTTCAGCATAGGAGTAAATTAGTTATTATCAATATAGAACTCCTTGCCTTAAATTGACCTCCAGGAATAGTATAATTAAATTAAATTAAAATATACTAATCTTTTTCCATCACACTTTTCTATAAAACATTGCTAA